TAATCAACACCAAGACAGTGAAAAACAGCTACATTTTCCAAAACAATTACCGCTGACAGTCAACCATATAACTGTAACAAGAAAATTTAGACCTACAAAAAAGTCATAAATATTTGCGATATAATATTACCAGTTTCTGTCCCTTTTAAAGAAAGATTGATAGATCCTCTGGGGCATCAATCCAAATGCTCTCATAAGGATCCTTTTCTGCCCAATCATAGCACTGATTTCGGGGCTGATATCTACCACTGTCAAGAGAGTAAGATACACATCGTTTACCATAATATAAAACTTCAGGGAAATAAATATTGTTTCTCATCATTCCATTGAGATCCATCCTTGCTTGGGATGACAAGATACTTGCAAACAGTGTCGAGCCTTCTAAAGTTTCCATATCCATCCATACTTTATTTGTTTGGTCTAACTTGTATATCACTGGGTTTAAATCAGAACAAGTGTATATAACAAAAATGTCCCCATTATGTTCGGCCATAAATCTTCCTTTCCACCAATTGTTGACGCAAAAAGCATTAGGACATCTGGCTGGAGGAACAGAATGAACATCCCAAGTACTTTCATTAGGGTTATAAACCCCCAACAAACCTGTAATACTCAAACAATAAAAAAGACCATTGCAGAAAAGCAGGCTGGTGACTGTTGGCATACGGTTTTGGTAATTGACAGTAGTCCATTCAGTTGCTCCAGGATGACAAGTGCCAATAGTAATATTAGTTGCGCTCACATGCTTTACTGTAAAGAGAATACAGCTAGGAGATGTTGGAGCGGCAGAAAAAGCAACATTTTGGAATCCCAACTCTTGTTTAGGTAATTTGATCTTTTCTTGCGTATAAGGACAATAAAAGAACACGTGCTGAGTTTTGGGCTTATACAGCAGCAACCAGCCATCCTTAGCGTAACAAAGCCTAGAGCCATGTAGCTTTGGTAATTCAAGCCAATAAGTTTTGCGCTGAGCAGGGTCGTAGAATTTATGCAAGTCACCAGATTTTGGGAAAAACATAAGCCAGGGAGGTTTTTTGACCTTTCTAACCCCATTTGCAACGGTGTGCCATCGTCTACAAACAGCAGAAGCACGGATATTATCTCTGAAGGTTAACAGAGAGATTATCAGTTCCAAGATCTCTGTTGGAAGCACGGAAAGCTCATCTGGCTGTCCAGTTGAAGCTCTCGTATCTTCTTTGATTGTTTCAGCTAATCTACATTCACAATATTGAGGTAAAATCCAGCTAAATGAAAGAAGAAGAAAAATAGAGGCATTGACAATTTAAATAAACAAAATTGCCAATTATGTTGACCTCAAGCAATGGATATGTTTTCGAAAAATTGAATTCACAGTAAAGACAACCACTGGTAAAAGCAGAATTGGAATCATCCATGAAAAATACAAGTTCGCACTTGGTCTATATAGAATTTGAAGGAATAATTTCCACCAAGTATCCATACTGATAATATACAGACAACACGGCATTGACAATGTAAATCAAACAAAATCGCCAATTATATTGACCCCAAGCAATGGATATGTTTTCGAAAAATAGAATTCCCGGTAAAGAAAAACACAGGTAAAAGCAGAATTGGTATCATCCACGAAAAATACAAGTTTGCACTTGGATTATATATGAAGGAATAATTTCCATCAAGTATCCACACTGATAATATACAGACAACACCAACCGCACCAGAATGCCAAATTATACATGTTCACAAGAAGGCCACAAGCCAGAACTGAATCTCTTTTAAATGGTCAATAGTTAAAAGTCACAAGGCTTCAAACCAACACGCAGTACACAATCTTGCTTCCAAAATTATTTTAATTAAAAAATCCTTGAATTCTAGCATAGTTCCTTAATGAAAATTCCAGGGAAATCCATGTCAGTGTGGAGCAAATATGAAGAGACATTTTTGAAAAAATGGGCAGCATTTGATAACATTATTGAATTCCAAAACCTCATCTAAAAATACATAGTTTGGATAAGAGTAATTTTGCATCTAAATTACAGCTTAGCATTCATACAATTCTGAAGTCGAATAACTTAATCTTGTACTATACATTTTGGAACGTGAAAGGATTTAGTGAAAATGTCTCATTGTTTTGGTTCACAAATGGCACAAAAACCTCATCAAGCATGGCCACGGAAAGTTCAACGCCAGCAATGGTGTCATAAGAAATTAATTATAATAGGGCTCCCATTCTCTATGGATTTAGCTGGGGATATGAGGTCCAAATTGATGGGAAAATATTCCTCAAAACCTGCCAAGCTAAAGACAGCATCAATTGCAAAGGGAAAAATAATTAAGAGACCAATGTGATCAAACTTTCCTTTCATGCACACTGCCTATCCAAATTGAATTTGATATAGAAGATGCCAAAAGATCTTCACAGTCTAAAAAGGCAAGGAATTTGGTAGAATAATTACCTTTGCTGGCCAAAACTTTGAAGCAATTTTAGGTCAAGCTTTTAGCATACATTCATTATAAATTGATGTTTTCTTTTTCTCCTTACGGGAACTTAAGGGTTTTCTAGCGGAAAAAATTGTGATACTAGCATCCTAGTTTTTCTTGTTCTCTAAATGGTTTGTACAAAGCGTACAATTGTTGGGAGTGGTAAAGCTTATTCAATATTTTTCCTACGACACTAGGGGGTTTGAAGGAGCTAGAAATCTATATGATTGTAACTTTGACAGTCCATAAATTTTACATGTTTTCCCCTATATATTTTAATTTTCTGTCTCGTAATCAAGAATTGGACTCACTTCCCAACCCAAATTACATATCTAGTCTCATAAGGTTTAAAAACTAGATTCGAAGTTCATCCAGCAAAATCCCTCAACTCAAACGCATCTTTACAATGTGATTTCCCTTTTAAAATTTTAACTAATTCATCTTTCTTTTCTCCAAATACGTAAGTGATCATATTTTAGAGAAGCAAAAAATCTACCGTAGAATTAATGAATTTACCCCAAAACAATTCCAACACAACCGTCTAAGACACAAACATGAAGCCTTATAAATTCTCCAGTTCACTCTAAACTAAGATTTAACCAATATCGTCCTCTTCATGCACTCAAATTAAATTCATATACAACATTAAATGGTGCATTTGAAGGGGTTAAAATATTTTTTTGCAGATAAAAAAATCCATTATTTAGTTTTGGTATACACTAATTTACATCATGAAATCTCATCTGACTAAAACTAAAATTAAAAAATAACCTAAACCTAACTGAAGATTATGAAATGAGATTTTCAGTTTTTACTGAAAAATTAACAACACGCAAAAATTCAGACAGAAACTACTGAATTGGATTACTAAAGAAAAATTGGAAAAACTTACAATTTCAATTTCTTTCTTCTCTTTCCAGCCATAATTAAGAGAACCCAGAATCAGTTTTAGGGAAATAGCTCCATCTTACTCTGCCTAGGTGTGTGTGCCAGAAGCGGTGTAGATTTTTAAGGTTTGACGAATCCTATGCGAAAGGGATATTTTTCCTCTCCAAAAAGGCACCTACAAGTAATTGACGCTGCCGTTGACAGATGTGCTTTTCTACTTTCTTTTTTCTTTTAAAATATAAATTATAGAAATGACCCATGAAATTATTGGAAATGTAGATCGGATCTCTTGACTCTCATATAAGATTTGCTGAACCGAGTATTGCAACTGCTTAATAGTTCACGTCTTAGAAAGTCCGAACTCCTAACAAGAATTCTTAAAAGTACAATTCGAGGTCAAGAGGAGATGCTAGTTGTGGTAACATGTATGTACAACATATTCACGACTTCTAACTATGGATGTGGAGATATTTGTAAGTTTTGCCGCGTATCCTTAATTTGGTGTAAACGTGATCATCACGTTAAGACAAGTATTTCTTTTGAGATTACATGATTGATTGGATAAGTTCAAAAAGTATTTTGTTTTCTACATTCTCTCCGTGAATATAACTATATAAGAAACAACTTGGGCATGCCATTTCTGTTATGATCAAATTTGTAACACATCAGTGTGAAAATTGTTCATGAATAGCAACTTGAACAATACACAACTCATACTTTTTTTTTCAGATTGTATATTTGTATACAATTTTCTTAAGTGGTATTAATTCTTATCCCGGTTTGAAACTCAAAATGAGGTTCCAACTGAGTTTTTAAGTTACTACACTATCTAGAAGATCAACTCTAGCAAACATGAAAATGCAATCAAGTTGCTAAGATGTTGGTTGGAATTGCTTGGGCTCATATCAGCTTGTTGAATCTTGGAAGGATTGATTAGAGAGATGGTAAATGGATATATTACTATGCAATTTCTCATAAATAAGGTGCACAAAAAATAAGATGAATAGTGTTGATAGGGTTGCGAATATATGATGAAATGTTGCGATGATTTTAGGTGCTTTCCTATGACAAGTTTTTAGAGAGAGAAAGAACGGAAACAAGGAGAGTGTTTATAGAGAGGAAGAATGTTTAAATTCTTCATTGGAGACATTCGAATATATAAAAAAAAGGAAGGGTGCTTTTCATTTATAGACTTTTTCATACGTGTGTCTGACACGTTGGTTAGAGCACACATGACGGAATACTTTTATCTTCAAAATGAAGATTCTCCAATAACTAGACCTAGCTTTCGTTATATCAATTAGCCATCATATCCACGAAATCACGTTGCGCCTCATGGCCTCAATTGGCCGAACACTACTTGTGTGCCAGGCTTTGAGCCTCACAGGCTTTCTACAAGTAATCACATGAGGTGGGTCCTACATGGGACATACCTCATTAAAATAATACCCCATAAATGCCCACCCTCTTTCGTTTTGTGTGAGGCCTGTAAGGGACGAGCCTGATAGAGCAACTAGGTTCCAATTGGCCGAGGTCATTACCGCCCTTGCTAATCACAAACTCCAAGAAAACTAAATCAATCAATTACATAAGCATCATTATACCCCTACTTGTAGAGGATGACAAATTGCTCACGAATATAACACGTATCATCTTTTAAGGGCACACTATAGACACTTTAGGATATGTATCATGTTATGACGGATGTGTCAAGAGGAGTCGCGCATGCAACTTTTGACGATGTGACTCTTCAATCAAGGTTACATAAATTATTTTAGACGATGCGATGCTTCATTATTATTTGCTATTAATGTTGTGTGTCGCGCGCACATGACATGTGGGAGACAATGTTTCCTCGTCCTCTGGTCATTCAAAATTCAACCTTTCAAATTCTTTCCTTCATTCCTATAAATATGCAACACCCTCATGTTTTAAAAAGAATTTTCCTTCGCCTACAATATATGTTTTGATCTTTATCGATACAAGTACAAGCATCCTCCCTACACACCATAGCTTCTTAAGGTTCCTTATGTAGTGACGAATTTGTGCTATCAACATAGCGAAAGAAAAAAATTAGAGAGGGATGTTTGTTTTCAGAGAGGAAGAATGTATAAATTCCCGAGTAAAGATGTTCAAATGAATCAATAATTGGGAGGGGATGTGCTTATAGACGTGTTAATAGGTATGGTTGATGTGGCTATTGCCATTGACGTCGTGGCGAGATTTCTATCTATCAAAAAAATTTCAATGATTCGATCGAGCCTTCATTATGTCGATTAACCATCATTCCTTGAAACTACGTCTCGTCGCATGACTCAATCGACCAAGAGCATTATCGGCATTGCTAACTCACAAACTACGATTGTGGGAATCAGGGGGGTGGAGCCAAGGGAGTAAAGTTGTGGGAGCTAATTTCACAAAATTTTAATTGTGGGGGCAAAATAGAAAATTATAAAGATTTTTTTTTTTCTGAAAACGTTATGTAAAATCTTGAATTTAAAATTTACTGTGGGGCAACAGACCCCACTACCCCACTGTAGATCCGCCTATGATGGGAACTAAATCAATCGATCGCATCTGCATCAAGTGTTAATAATTATATTTTTGTTATTGTGCATATTTCGTTGGTTAGATAACAAATTTGTATTAATTAAAGAAAAAATGTAAAATAAATTTCATTTTTAACTATGAAAGTATTATTAAAGATTCCCATAAAGCTTTTTGTACTTGAGGAAATATCTCACATATGGCCGGTTTTGCATAGAGGTGAATGAGGCTGTCGCCTCGAGCCCATCATTAGAGTGGCCTCAGATTTTAGCTTATTTCATTTTTTTATTTGGTAAATTAGGTTCACTAAGATTTTTTTTATTAAAAATTAGATAAATTGGATCAATTTCATTCCATTTATATATAAGGCCTAATAATATTTTTCCATTATGGAAATTTCATTTCTAAATTAGGTCCATTTCAAATGTAATAGAAGCGAACAAGTGACGTAGGATTTCCCAAACTCATGTTGCAGTGATTTCTCAGTTTTACTCAACTTGTTCATGACATAGGTAGCATTTGATTAATTTGTTTAAAATAAGTGACGTGTTACTTGACTTGGCAAAAATTAACGAAAATCCTTGAACAAAGAGTAAAGTGAAGTCCTTAGCGACATATGAACTTCAAAATTTTGAGTTCTTGGTTAACATGGTAATTTGCTTCAGGTTGTTACATGTAATCAATATTATGAGTAAATTTCTTCAAATTAAAAATATGGATATTGATGGTGCTATCGGCTTCTTATAATGATTTTTTTTACTTCTCGAAAATTACTAAGAAATTGAATTTACTATTGTCACTGATAAATTGACAAAAAAGGCAAGTAAAATGGGTATTGAAAATGTATTCCAATAAAAATGTATAATTTGAATAAAAAAGTAAATTGACAAAAGTAGTAGTGATGAGGTAAGTCAATCGGTTGAAGAATTATTTAGAGTTGAATACTTCTTTTTTATAATTAATTATAATTAAGCTCTATCTTCTCTAAAATTTGATTTGAACAATTTATACAATATGGAGAAATATTTCAATTTTAATTAAATTTGGAAAGGTTAAAGCGTGCAATTTTTTCAATTGTTATGAATCTTAAGAAGTATCTAAAATATAATTGACGTTCGAATATTAATGGAAATGATTTATAATTCTGAGTTACATGTCATGAGGTAGCAGAGCAATTAAAGTGCTACAGTATTTGAAAATATCTCCAATGCTTATATTACTTACAAAATTTTGTTAATCATATCTTATCTTATCTTCAATCAACTATATAACAAGAAAAATTGAATTGATTGACTATATTATTAATTGAGAAAGAAATAATCGAACATATAGATTATTCAAGTTTCAATAATGTTTTTCCCTCTAAAATCTCAAGACGAATAGTATTTAGCTGATCGTTTGAAATATTGTTTGCTTTGTTATTTGGTTATAACATTTTTTTTTTGTATAATACATTTTATTTGATATTTTATTGTTAAGTTTTAAATTTACAAATTAACCATTGACTATATAATATGATTTTGCATGCATACTAGAATTTTTGGAGCCCAATTTATGGCGTTCGCCTTAGGGCCTGAAAATCACTGAACCGACACTGTTCTCATGTTTACTTTTAGCAACTCGTGTTTGCTGCACTATTCAATATATTCAATGTTAATTATCAAACAGAAAAGGGAAATAAATAATTAGGTTAATGGATGGACCCCTTCCATTACGTTAGTGACTCCCTCGTGTCGAAAAGACAAATGCAATAGGTTCATGAGAATAACATGTTCATTACTACGAATGACAATAAATGTGAGTATTTATAGATACGAGAACTGAACAAAAATTCTTTGAATTTTTGACACGTGATCTCATTCCAACGACTTACTACTCAAGTTCCATCACATCACTATATTGCATCTTAGGCATCAATATCTCCGCAATTCCACACACTGTCCTAGGTAGATAAAAGAATATCTGCACTCAGCTATCACGATGGGTAATGTTACATGAGTCACTTCTCAATGGCTACATAAGCCAGAATCGTCGTTTACACAATAGTTGCGGGTCACCCTATGCTGCTGCAGTAATGGAGAGCACTTAAAAGTAACTATCTCACTAAATAAGTCTATTATTTAGCATGAGAGAGTTGAATAAAATTAGGTACATCTTTTTATTAATTTCTCCTCACCCTTTTGCTGTTGACCACAAAACGAGGAATATAGAGTCAAAAAATGCAGCTCATTGGCATTGTGAAGTGGTGGAATTTGTCAGGTACAAGGTTAGGTATATTTCTAGAAGATTAATTAATCATAATCGACACTTTGTGCTGTTCTAGAAGGCGGCTAAGCACAAATCATGATCTACCCAAGAGGCCAAACATAAATATAAAGGAATTGGACACCAAGTCATTTTCTTGTCTTCTTCTTATTTAGGCTCATTTTTTTTAATTTTTTGGTGTTCAAAGCTTAAATATGAAGAAACAGGATTGGTGTCTACTGATCCAATCGGTGTAATTTTGTATATTAGATAATTCGTTTAAAATAAAATCGAGCAGTTAGCCTCAAGATTGATATTTCTAAACAAAGTCCAATCATGAATTTACCTTTAAAGGGTAAACTTCTGTATTGAAAACAATAATCCATGCATAAAAACGTGAGCTGCTGCTCATACCTAAATCTCAAGACTAAGATATTAGATGTGATATATATTTGTTTTTGCCAAGTAGTTCTTGACACAATGTAAAGGTTATTATACATTTTAATAAATTTAATATATTGTCTTAATTTACTATAATATTCAATAATATGTGTGGAAGTCTCTCAACAAAATAGTTAGGTCATATTCTTGTTTGTAAAGGGACTTAATTATAAGGAAAATGCTCAAAAGACAGAGTGGGCGACATGCACCCTGATAGAAGGCCCACTTATAGGCCCACTCTGTTACCATAGCATTTCCCTAATTATAAAGATAACAAGAGCTTTATCATGATGCAAGTATATACGTAATTCTAAATTTCACCTAATTATACGTTGATTTCCTTCTCAAATTATTTGAAATTAGTCTTTCACAACTTTTGTAGAAAGTTTTAAGTAATTAGAATTGAATATAAATTATAAAGTCGTGCAAGAAATAAGTAAGAATACCATATCCTAATCATCACATTTAATTAAGAGCCTGTTTGTAAGTGATTTTGAGAATTGATTTTTTGACCGTTAGGAGAAAAGTGGGGTCCACTTGTGAGAGAATAAGTCAAATATAACGGTTGAAATAGTGAAATAACGATCAAAAAATTAATTTTTGAGTGAAAAAATGGGGCCCAAATAGGCTCTGAATGTCTTCGCGCTAATCAAGAAAATAAGTATTCTGCTCACAAGCTGTTCTCATCCTAGATTCCTAATCACATGTTCTAGAAGATGTCTCTGCATGTTTTTGACGAAATTTATGTAAGCTTATATTTTATTTATTCAACAGAGAAAAAAAGGACCCCACATCAAATCAGAAGTCAAACTGTTGAATCTCCCTCGAAGAAATAAAACTAGAGTTGATTTCTCTAGTGGTCATTGAAGTTCAAGAAAAATTTTAAATTGGTCATTGAAGTATTTTTGTGAGATATTTAATCATTAAAGTTAATAATAATATATAATTGATCACCCTTGTTAACCTTATTAACATCAAATATGACACATTAGCTGTTAGAACTTTACATGGAATAATGATCTCTAAAAAGACATATTCATTATAACTTGTCATCCTATTTGTGACACAATCAAAACTTTTTTATAATCTATTAATGATGGAAAATAGGGCTTGAGTTAAAATGTACGATTTGAGGTTTTCTGGGGCGAAACTTAAGGTTTTTTTTTTCTTTTCTTTTCCATTAAGAATCGCCTTTAACTTTGGAGATTTGTAATTTCACATCGTGGACACGTAGTTCATAATCACAATGAAGTTTTAATGGGTCGATGTCAAATATGGAAGGAATGCCACTCACTAAAAGAGAAACCAGTCATGTAATAGAGTAATGCTGTTTAGTTTCATTGGAGTGACAATCCTCTCTAGGTGGACATTGAATGATAGGTGAAATTAAATAAATTATTTAATTTCACATTTCTTTCACATTATCATATAACGCCATCTAGATTGGAATTGTAAATCCAATTGGGCTGCAGAGCATTATTCTATGTAATATTATCTAATTTTTGTGATTCAATATCACAAAAATGTTTACTTGGACTTCAATAACTATTTGTGAAATTAGCTCGATGCAAACATAGCAATAATTAAAATATACAAACACAAAATCTATTTTGATTTTATGTATCATATTTTGCGGAGCTTACGTCCCTTTAAAATCCTTCATTCGCACCATCACCAGATCCTATGTGTCAGATCTCTCTCTAATTCTTAAGTTTATCTCACTAAAAGTCCTTGCTGTTTCTCATACGTCCCTTCAAAATCCTCCATTCTCACCATCACCAGATTACATTTGTCAAATCTCTCTCCCCCCCCCCCCCCCCCCCCCCCACCAGATCCTATGTGTCAGATCTCTCTCTAATTCTTAAGTTTATCTCACTAAAAGTCCTTGCTGTTTCTCTCTTATTAATTCCCAATGCCTCAAGTTGATGTTGAAGTTCTTGTTACAGCCTGTGAAGGCGGAGGCAACGACCGGAAAATCGTCTGTGAAACACTCGTAGACGGCGGATTCAACGGCTACCCACCAAAAAATGATAACTCTGATGACTCTACTGACGCGCCGCAAGATTTCCCGCCGGAATCTTTCTGGCTATCGAAAGACGCAGAATATGACTGGTATGATCGTTACGCCTTTTATGAGCGCAAAGAATCCACCAAAGGCAATTCAAACTCGGCGAACTTGAACTCGAACATACACCCCGGTTCAAACTCCAACTCTCAACGGTTTTCTGCTATCTTGAAGTCCAAGGCCTCTATAATTGGACTTCCAAAAACCCAAAAAACTACTTATGTTGATTTCCGAAGAAAGTATTGTAAACCGGCTAATATGAGGTTGTTTCCAAAACGGCCCGAGTCAGTTGGAAGGACGATGATTTCCACGGTTGAACCATCTTCGCCGAAGGTTTCTTGTATGGGGAGAGTTAGATCAAAACGTTGCCGGCGTAGATCAAATTCCTTGAAAAAGAAAGAGAAACCGATCGAGAAACAAAGAATCGGCGATGGAAAGCAAAAACAGGGGTTTTACTCGATGATAATAAGTATGTTCCGTCCCAGAAAGAATCCAAAAAAACCGGTTAGATCCAGAAGTGGAAGAGTAGAGGAGGAGCCAACGGTGGTAGGGCCAATAAGGAAAAGCTTTAGAGTGTGCGAGATTCCAATTTCAGTTGAACGAGTAGCTGAGCCGCCCGGTTTGGGGGAGATGATGCGCTTTGCCTCCGGTCGGAGATCACAGTCTTGGTCTGCCGAAAATGTTTATCAGGGCCAGGGGAGTTGATTATGGGGTGCTTGAAAGTCATACGTGGATGTTCACATTGAGGTTGTCTGATGACATGGCATTTCGCCTTTTTTCTTTCCCTTTCTGAAGGTTCTTTTTCTATTTTTCTTTTTGCCTTTTTTAATTGTAGCTTCTACATTTTATTTGTTGTATTGTATAAATTTGGTCGTGTAAATAGACATGTTTTTAGGGGGTGAAACTGTAAATAATCTAGTTATAATATTTTAGAGAATGTTTTAAAATAAATAATAATAAATGGAGCATATAATCACCAACAAAATTTTATTGTTCTTTGCCTATATTATCATTGTAAGTAATATGATAGAAATTATTTTCGATAATTTTGGACAAAAATACCGACATTGATATTGATGCTACCAAAAATTGTACTTTGTAGATCTCGAGGATGAGGACTGATAACAAGCACGAACTTTATCTTCGAGTACTTGAAACAAAGGCAATGAAATGTATTTTCGTCGCCTCTTCGATACTTAAGTCAGAAAGGGGATTGCGAAAAAATTTATGCTGAACCCGCATCGTTAGCTTGAAAGGCTAGGGGTTATAGTCGACGTTGATTCAGTATTTTGAATGTCTCTAGTTCAAAACCGAACATGAAACCACCGTAAGTGTGTAACGTACCTAATCAATGGGCTAAGAGTCTATATTTATAGAGGTGGATAGTTCAGTCCTTATAGGATTGAACTAGTTGGATGTACTTATCCAATAGAGTCCTGCTTGAGAGGAATGTCTTACTCGTAATTGAATTGTACAGCCAACGGTGTTGGAGTTGACGTAGAGTCCTTGGGGGTTTAGACATTTGTTAGGTGAGCATATGCACCTCGAGGACGTCATAAAGAAGCATGACCCGAGGACATTTTCTCGAGGACTATAAAAGGTGATTCTCATGGTGTGAACAAAGTTCTTGTGCTTAGTATCTCGAGGACTTGAATACCCGAGGACTTCGTATCAGGAAATAGAAGTGAGGCATGTGGGGATTCCTCGAGTAAGATAGTCATCGGGATATCCAATTTTGGTAGCATCATTGGCCCCCGTGCAAGAGTGCGAGCTCTGGAATGGGGTGCACCTGAGTTTCTAATCACCAAACATTGTCGGTTGTGTCGTCGAGGAAAACGGCTGACAATATGGTCGGTATTGATATGACTGTTACAAAGAATGACCTTGGATGTGTGACACGTGTCCCTATGAACGGCCATAGATGGTGACCTTTTGGCCTTCTATTTTTTTCACCTATAAATACTATTGTTCACCCCCACATTTTTTACTTTTACCCACTGTAAATCTAAACTCTGCGAGGTCGTGTTCGAGCAAAATACTTTGAAGCTTCTCAAGTCGTTGGGCAACTCTATGTAAGGCTCGATATTCTAAGTTATTCCATAAGCTAAGACTTAAGTTCATTACGTAATGTCGAGTAGTGAGGTGGTGATCGTTCTAGTAGCTCGAGTAGTAGTGAGGACTTAAGTACCTCGATAATACCAACAGCTATTCTCCTAGATGCAAGACCTGATGCTCAGGTTAATATGGTCTTCGAGTATCCTGATAAACCTTGTAAGTTGAAAAAGCAATTGGCTATTGCCATAGCTAGAGAGTATGGGCTCATGCCTATTTGTTACGTTAGATCCCTTGGCCCCAAGGATAGAATTGTACGAGCTCGACGAGGAAAGCTTGTCATCTTTAGGGAGACCCTTAAGGCTGGCTTCAGGTGGTCCCTACACCCTTTCTTTATTATCTTATTGGTTGAGCATTCCATGTGCCCGGGGCAGCTAGTGCCCAATGTCTGGAGAATGCTCGTGTATTTCTTCATAGGCCGTTGGTACTTAGCTATCGAGCCTAATGTCAACTTTTATAAATTGGCGTTCGAGCTTAAGAAGCATCCTTGATGCACTTGTTTTGGTTACCTCTCGACCATAGGAGGGTTTAAGGTCTCGAGGATGGCAAGTTCTCTAAAAGGATGGAGGGAGGGATGGTTTTATGCTATTGCTTGAGAGCCCAATCTCCTTTTCTGGCCTAATTGGGGAATCCCCGACACCGAGAAGTTCTATGAGGGCCAGGTATATCCAGATGTCTTGGAAGAGCATAGGAGGATGCAGGTGGGGCTCAACCCCTCTATTCTTGACCATGAAGGAGATCAGGAAAGAGGTGATAAACCTGGCAGATATTAGAGGCGTCGAGGGTAGGGTTGTTTCCTTATTTTTTCAAAATAGCTTGATCTTGTGCTCGTTCTAAAGTGTTGAATGTTTTTCCCTTTATGTAGGTATGTCTTTTGATCCTCAAGCTTTATGTAACTTTCTTAGCACATAGGTTGATGCCCAACCACAAGGCCAACCCCTGGCAAAGAAAAAGAGTAAGAAAAGGCCTCGAGGTACCCCTTTTGAGCATAGTACGAGGGGTCTAGGTGAAACTTCTCGACCACAGCCTCATCCCTCTAGCCTGGTGTTGCAAACGACCCAGAGGTCTCTCACTCCTTGAGTTGTCACTCCTCGACCTCTTTTCGAGGTTGTTGATCTCGAGAATGACACTATTCGTTTGATGACTTCTCTTACTGAAAACTTCGAGCGCTGTCACCTGGTCTTGTTTCCAAGTATAAGGACGAGGTCAAACTCGAGGATGGAATGAAGGTCCTCGGCTTCTTACCATGAAGGTATTCCTCGAGTTTTTGCCTTTGTATAATTTCTTACTATTTTCCTGGAGACTAACATTTCTCTTTTACATACTTTGAGTGTGGCTCAGGACTCTCTCTTCAAGGAATTAAGGAGGCTAAGAGAATGGCTGGGTTTGAGAGCTCAGTGGCGTGTAAGGACAGGAGGATTCGTGACCTCGAGCTGAGCTTGAGGCTCTGTTGAAAGAGTGTGATGACGCGAAGAGGGAGGCTGCGAAGGCCCATGATGACCTTGGTGCTGCAAAGGACAAAGCTAAGGATGCGAGGCTCGAACTTTTGCACAGACAAGGGAGTTCGAGGACAAGCTCGCGAAGGTTAAGGAAAAGACCTAGAAGAATTCAAAACCTCTGAGAACTATGATAAAATTAAGGGCGAGTATGCGTCGGGGGCATACTTTCATGCTCTCAAGGAGGCCCAAGCCTTTCTCCGTGCAAAGTTACTTGACGTTAGCCCAGATGACCTAAAGACGGTGCCTTCTATCGTCGATACTCTTGATCTTTCACGGTTGAAGGATGGAGGAGCAGGATGGAATGACAACGGAGAAGATCGATGATTATAAAATGTTTTGCTAGGGAATGAACTTTTCCTTTGTATTCCATATCTATGTCAATTAGTTATGCCCAAGCTCGAGTATTGAGGCTTTCTCGAGGACAATAATTAAAATGTGATTATTATATGTGTGGCAGTCCTCGAGGATTGCCAGATCTAACTCACAAGTATTTGGTTCGACCATTGCTCTACCCAGAAATTTTTAATGGCAAACACATTGACTTTAGCTCTACTTAGATTAACAAATGTTAAGTATTACTGGACCTTGTTTACCTACTTCACTAGCACAACACTGACTGCATTCTGAGTGACCGCTAAGTATAAAAATAAGGTATCCCCGGGTTTAGGTCTGGTTAGGACTGGAGGAGAGGCTAATGTTTCATTGAGCTCCTGAAAAGCTTTTTCACATTCGTCGTTCTAGTCGAAATTCTGGTTGCCCCTAAGGACCTTGAAGAAAGGAAAGCACTTGTCTGTTGTTCGGTATATGAACCTATTCAAGGCGACCACTCGGCCTGTCAGTTTCTGAACTTCTTTCTCGTTCCTAGGTGATTCCATAGATGCCAAGGCTTGTATTTTGTCTAGATTGGCCTCTATCCCTCTATGAGTGATCATGAATCCCAAGAATTTTCCCGAGGCTACTCCGCATGCACACTTAGTCAGGTTCAATTTCATTCTGTATTTTCGCAGGATGCTGAAGACTTCCTCTAGATCAGATATATGCTAGCCTACCTACTTGCTTTTTACCACCATGTTATCGACATAGGCTTCAACATTCTTCCTAATCAGTTGGGCAAAGACCTTGTTGATGAGTCTTTAGTATGTTGCCCCTGCGTTCTTCAACCCAAATGGTATGACCTTGTAACAGTATATGGTAGAGTCTGCCATGAAAGACGTTTTTTCTTGATATTCTTCAGCCATAAGAATTTGATGGTAGCCCGAAAATGCATCTAGGAAGCTGTAAAACTTGTGTCCTGCTGTGCCATCCACAAGGCTGTCAATCCGAGGCAAGGGATAACTATCTTTTGGGCAGGCCGTGTTGAGGTCTGTGAAATTAATGTAGACCTTCCATTTGCCATTGGTCTTTTTCTCCAAAACTATGTTGGCAAGCTACTTAGGATACTGGACTTTCCTGATGAAGCCTGCATTGACAAGTTTATCGATTTCTTCGCGAATGACTTCTCGTCTTTCTGAGGCAAACTATCTCTTTGTCTGCTTCATAGGCTCTTGGACTAATATTTAGCTTATGGACCGCAACGCCAGGATCTATACCTGGCATGTCTTCCATTTTCTTGCAAAGACGTCGATGTTCCGAAACAAGCAGGCAATGAGTTACGCCATAAGGACTTCATCAAGATCGTGACCAATATTTACTTTTTCCAGTACTCGAGTCAACCTCTACCAATTCTTCGACTGGGTAAAGCCTACCGTGATTGTCGGGGTCGGGTTTGGTGTCGAAAAGTTGCATGACATAAGTGTCTATCTCCCGTAGGTTGGAAATATAGCACTGTTTAGCTGCTACTTGATCTCCATGCACGACTCCTATGCCTTGACCTATAGGGAACTTCATGGCAAACTGAAAAGTGGACACAATTGTCTTGATCTTATTTAGCAGCGATCTACCCAGGATAGTGTTGTAGGCCATTGAAACACAGACCACTTGAAAAGGCGTGACTTCTGTTACCTGCTTTAGATCAGATCCCAAGGTGAGGGGTAACTCGATGACGCCCTTTGGGATGATGACACTCCCGCTGAATCCCTGCAGAGGAGTTTTCACAGGCTTTAGCTATTGTGCTGAAATTCCAATCTTACTGAAGGCCTCATGGGACAGGATGTTTGCTGCACTTCCATTATCCATCAAGATCCTTCTTACTTCTAAGTTGGCAATAATTGCTAAAATAACCAAGGCATCGTCATGAGGAAGGGACACGCCATCCAGGTCTTTAGTTCCAAACGTAATGTTCTCAAGGCGATCTTAGGATATTCCTGATGTCAAAGAGTGCTGCCTGGCATATTGTTTTCGCCCATTATTTGAATCTCTCCTTGATGCAATGCTTCCGACAATGATGTTGATGGTCCCTCTGTTGGTTGGCGACCACGCCCTGGTTGCCGGGGCTTTTTCCTTATTACGACCATTTCTAGGGCGTTTGTCACTACTAACATATGAACTGAGGAGTCTCCTTTTTATAAGTGCCTCTATTTCCCGTTGCAAGGCCATGCAATTCTCTGTGGTATGCCCATGATCCTTATGAAAATTACAATACTTGTTTCGGTCTTTAGCATCTAGAGGGGACTTTATTCTAGGTGGCCATTTGAACTCATATCTTTTATCTCCATCAGTATGTTAGCTCTCGAAGTATTCAACTTGGTGAACGATGATGGCAGAGTCTCCTGCCTCTGCTTGTTTCGAGGGGCCTCTCGCCGCTGACTTAAAGTCATGTTACCTCTTATGCTCGACCATTTCTTGAGGCAGGCCGATTCTCTTTGGATTTAACGTCTCCTCCATATTAATGTACTTCTCTCCTCTGGTCAAGAGCTCTGTCACTGATATTGGCGGTATTTTTTACAAGAACATCTTGAATGCCTCACACCTTATAGCATTAGTAAGAGCGGAGACCGCCGCAATGATATGGAGGTCGAGAATCTGCAACCTTTCCTTGTTGAACCTAGTCATGAAGTCACGAAAAGTCTCATTTTGTCCTTAGCGGAGTTGCATGAGAAAGGCTGTTGTTTTCCGGATGCGCTTGCTACAGGCAAAGAAGGCAGAGAACTTATCGGCCAGGTCCGCAAAAGAAGATATGGAATTGGGTACCAAGGTCGAGAACCAATCCCTGGCAGCGTTTGAGGGAAAGCCTTACACATCACCTGGTCTGGAGCAACTTACAGATTCATGACGTCCGTGTAAATGTTGACATGGTTTATCGGATCGGTGGTCCCATCATACTCCTTTATACAGTGATACTTGAATCTATTCGGCAAGGGGAGGGACAATATTTCAGGAATGAACAGAGTGTTAGGGGTGAAGCCTGTTGTCCCCTTATCCTTCTGCTTCAGGTCGACTGTGATACCCTCCTGGATGATTCTGACGAGTTCACTGGAATCCATTGTCACTGCTCTCGAGGCTGAGGCCATGTTGGGTACACCTGAGGTTCCAGCTTCACCATAACCTGGAACAGGATGCAGGGCTCGAGCATCTGCCATAAAACCACCTTCAGGAGTCGGCATATGTGTTGGATGCGAATTCCTCTTACTCAACAGCTGAGTGAGCGTGGCAACTTGTCGGCAAAACTCTTCAAAAGCTCCGACGGTAACGACAGCTTGTTGGGGGTGCTGGTATCTCTGACGTCTCTTCCTGAGGAACAGGATGATCTTCAAAGGGAGGAGGAGGGTTTGGGGTGGATGAACTTGCTATAGGAAGATCTGATCATATATTCACCATGGCTTTTGGTACCGCTTCCCACAGACGGCGCCACTGATGCTACCAAAAATTGTACCTCGTAGATCTCAATGATGAGGATTGATAACAAGCACGAACGCGATCTTCCGTTACCTGAAACATAGGCAACGAGATGTGTTCTCGTCGTCCCTTTGATGCTTAAGTCAGAAAGGGGATTGAGGAAAAATTTATGCTGAAAATTGTAAGTGTGTAAAGTACCTGATCAATAGGTTGAGGGTTTATATTTATAGAGGTGGGTAGTTCAGTCCTTATAGGATTGAACTAGTTGGATGTACTTATCCAATAGAGTCCTGCTTGAGAGGAATGTCTTACTCGTAATTGAATTGTACGGCCAACGGTGTTGGAGTTAACGTAGATTCCTTGGGGGTTTAGACATTTGTTGGGTGAGCATATGCACCTCGAGGACGTCATAAAGAAGCATGACCCGAGGACATTTTCTCGAGGACTATATCATGAGTGTGAACAAAGTCCTCGACTTAGTATCTCGATGACTCGAATACCCTGAGGACTTCGTATCAGGAAAAAGAAGTGAGGCATGTGGGGATTCCTCGAGTAAGATAGTCGTCAGGATATCCGATTTTGATAGTATCAGATATCATTATCATCATCACCAATGCAACTTCATCAATAATTATCATCGTTAATGCCATCACCGATATAGAAGTTATTGGTATCAGAGACAAAAATTTTGACAAAGATTATCGATTGCAATGTTATGAGTTTCGTCTTTGACAATCATCGATTATGTTATTGTTGCTGATCATGATAGAGGAGTTGCTGTATCATTCGACGATTAATTTAATTGAGATTTTTTGATGGGTTTGATTGATTTGAAATAAGCAACTTAGAGGTTTTCAATAAGATTTGAAAATTTCTAATGCATAGTGATTCGAGTTAAACAATTTTTCAGGTTAGACTGAGCGTCTTTAAGCAAAATGAATTATCTATGTCTCAACTTAATTATTTACATGCTATATATGTTATTGTTGGATTAATGTAATATTATTTATTACAAAAGCAGTGAGAACAACACGCCTGAATGATAGACAGCCCACCAACTTTCTTTTAGAATTATCTCAAATAGTAAACTGAATCATTATGGTAAGAAAATATAAATTTAAGTAATAAGTAACTTGTTTAATTTGTTGTTTTAATTTTGAAGATAAAGAAGCAATTCCTTAATTTAAAATCTTAAAATATCCTAAGTTTCTTTCTCGAATCCTCATTTCAATGAAATTCCATTATCCCAATTAGTTATGTCGTTGTAGTTTTGGACTACCTATGTCGACATATATAATAATTTGAAAATATTAGAGCATCCGCATCATTATGGAATATTGTAAATAATGATACTTATTTTGACAGTTTTATTTGGAAATAGTGTTATACGCATGCCAATCATATTTGTCTATCTATCTTGTTAGCTAATTATTTAGTTATATTTTTTAGAATGCAAATTAAAGGCACGCTTGGTTTGTGATTTTCAAGTTGTTTCCAGTCTTCAATTTTGCAGAACACTAAAAACATATTTGGTCCGGTATTTCCAAAAATGAATTTTTGAGAAGAATGATAATTTTTTATCACTAAATTTAAAACATATTTTTGATGTTTTGAGTATTTTCAGTGAAAGTTTTGAAAACCTTCAAAACATAGAAAAATGAGTATTTAAATAAAATTTTATTTAATAAAATTATGAAAATAAAATTTTAAATATAAAAATAAATTGAGAAAATTCTAAAATATAAAAAAATTCTAAAAAAAATTCTAAACAATGAAAAAAAAATTATAAAAAAATAAAATTATAAAATTTTCTAAATAATAAAAATAAAAACAGTTCAAGTTTTTAACAATCATTTACATAAATATTCTAAAAAATAGACGAATAAAAATAATTTCAATCAATGTCATTAATTTTATTTTTATTTCAAAATTTTGAATTCAATTTATTATTATTGTTATTATTTTACTTTTGTAATGATAAAAGTATTGCAGAATTTACCATCTTTGAAATGTATATATTACTTGATAATATATTAATATAAAATTGTTTTATTTTTAATGAATAAACAAATTCATGATAAAATGTGATAAAACAATTTTTTCAAAATTTACACCAAACGTAGTTTTTTGTGTTGAGAAATAATATTTAAAAATGACATCCCAAACGCGTTTTTAGTAATCTTAAAATATGCCTTCAAAATGGAAAACTGAAATACCACCTAGACGTGCCTTAAATTTTGCGTGTTCAAATCAATTTTCATTTTATCATTTGTTTAGTTAAATATTCGATAGGTTCGTGTCGCTGTCGCTATTTCAACTAACTTCCGATGGTCCTAACATCTCGCCCGTATTTCAGAACTGAAATAGTCTATTGGACCATCTATTTTCTCACGAGTATAACCAAAATCATTTACAGCATAATCTTGTTTTAGATGGAAATGTTGGAAGTGGTGGGTCAATTGGGTCAACTTTGACCACAATTTTAAGTGGGACCCGATGTTTGATGTATCGAAATTAATGCTTAATTAAATTCTACGTTCCGAGCAGATGAGTGTAGAATATTTAATTGTGAAAAACCACTTCAATATGAATGAGAAATTATGGTTGAAAGTTGGACAATAAATAAGAGAAATAAATGGGAAAGAATTGAAAAATGTTCCAATCCCACATAGGTTGCAAACACAACTTTGAACCACTTAATAAACTTCAAGTTTGGATATGTGTTTGGACCCCAAGGGGTACCAATAGTCTTTGAAAGGGGGGAGTCTTAGACAATGTCTAGACTAATCCAAAGGCCACACGAGCGCGCGCCGCCGTCGCCGTCCGATCGAACGGGTCGGGCCGGGTCGTGGGTGTGGGTGTGGGCCTGTGTTAATATTAATTTAAATTTTTTTCTTTTATTATTATTATTATTATTTTTTAAATTCAATTAATTCATTCCCTTTGATAGTTTATTAACTGACCCATTAGTTTGCTAAAACTGTGCGTTAAGTGGGTTGAGTGGTGGATGGAAACTGCTCAACCATCAACTCTCTCCTCTATTTGAATGGTCCTCAGGCTTTCAATTTTAAGAACATAGAAACTCATTCTGCATACATACTCTTCTTTTCTACAATAGTCTACAGAGAGTACTTCCGTTCTGGTTCGTTGTCTTGCAGTCGAAGTGCTGCTTCTGCAAGTATCTGATCGTTGTATCTTGGTAGACGCTTTACCACATACCGTAAGCACCGTGTGACGGGGTAAAAAGTCTTAAGGACAGAAAGCCTAGTTCTCGCCTCGATCATCCTCATTCCGAATTCTGGACTTCTTTATGCTCCTGTTTTTATTCTGTGCAATTCATTTTCTGGAAATAATATTCTGTTTTTACTGTTTTGCAATTGTTCATCTGGTTTAGCAAGTCATTTATGGAAAATCTGTTTTGTACAACAAAACGAGAACCAACAATCTTAAGACGTTTTTTTTAATAAATTATTTTCCAAAATTGTACTTGCTTATTTCTAACATTTGCAGACTCTTCGAAATTACTATTCTGCAGAATTTTAATTTGTAAATTCTGACTGGTTGATCTTCTATTTTGAAAATATTTATGACTAACACTGTCGGGATCAATGCAATTTCTCCTACTGTGGCTGTGACGCAAACTGTGGCTACTGTAACACCGATAATGTCTGGTCCTTCTGGTTCAACTCATGTTCCTCACGGAGAGAAACCTGAAAAATTTAATGGGGTCGATTTTAAGAGATGGCAGCAGAAAATGCTGTTCTATCTCACTACTTTGAACCTGGCAAAGTTTCTCACGGAGGATCCTCCTACTGTTCAACAAGGAGAAAATAATTGAGCTTCGATTATTGCCTTGGACGCATGGAAACATTCCGATTTCTTATGCAAAAATTATGTACTGAATGGACTGAATGATTCGCTATATGGTGTATACAGCATAATGAAAACTGCAAAAGAACTATGGCAATCTTTAGAAAAAAAATATAAAACTGAAGATGCTTGATCTAAAAAATTTCTTGTCGGAAAATTTTTGGAATACAAAATGATTG